AATACGCGACTTTTCAGCATGATAATGCACCGATCCATAACGCAGGAAAAATCAAAGAATTGTTAACAAAAAATAAATTCACGACTATTAACTGGCCAGCGAATTCACCAGACCTAAACCTAATTGAGAATATTTGGAAGGTGTTAAAGGATAATGTCCAAATTATGAAGCTTTTCCGCGGTCTGTAGAAGAACTTAAAGAAGGAATGGGAAAAACTTGATCCTTCTGTTTTTGAAGATGTTATTTCCTCAATGTCAAGAAGAATTGAAGCAGTATTTGAGTCAAATGGAGGGTCAATTAAATATTAATTAGGATGCGAAATTATCTTTATTTATATATTTTGAGTATTTAAAGTAATTATATAATGTCTACACTATAAAATATAATATAATGAATATTTCTATAATATTGTGAATATAAAAGGATGCAGGATAAAAATAGTAGAAAAATGAATTAAAAGAGTATTTTTGTACTAAAATTAATAATAAATAGATATATGAATATATTATAATTAAATAAATAAATAAATAATGATTAAAATTATTTTTGTCATTCTATTATTTTTAAAGATTTATATTATTTAGTATTTTTGAAAGATTTCTTAATTAATAAATACTAATATCACAATAATCTTATACAAAGAATATTTTATTATAACAAATCAAGTATATTTACTTGACTTATTCATTACACAAACTCTTAAAACAGATCGATTCACCAAAAAGAAACAAAGTCCAATAAAGAAAGTAAATCCTGAACTAGAACATATCTCAGAAATTCAACAAGATTTACTTATTAAAGATGAACTGGTTGACTAACATCACTATCACTTTCAAGCGCAATTACATATAATAGTGATAATCAATGACAATAATTATATGATGAATGGTCACCACTTGGCTAGAGCGACAAATCGATTCCGACGTGGAAATCAGCCACATGATCACATGATAGATCAGGTTTTAGACAACTTCCTCAGCTTGCCAACAAAATATCACACTCACGTGAGAACGATAAATTAACGTTAAAATTCGGGTTAGGGTATGGGTTAGAGTGGAGGAAAGGTTATATGTAAAATTGCCTTTCCGACATTTTTTGTTAATGCTTCAAGCCAGATTTTGACATCTGTTTTCCGTATTTTTTACATTATTCACTTTTTTATTTTCTTGTATCAGATTTGTTTTGCCGGGTTGATCAAAAATTTGCGCATTCTTATTGGTTTGCGCTCACGTTAGCGTGAATTTTGTGGCGATTCTGGAAAAGTTGGCTTTAGACGTTCCCGTGACATGTATGTGATCTGCATCACGTGAAAACTGCTCTGCTTTAGCCAACCCAAAACAACTTATTCAATGAGTTATAACAAATGGTGTACACCCGAATCTTTTTCAATCTTCGTGCGTCTTATTAATTGCCTTTATTTGCGATTTAACTGATATATACTGTCGAAACTTACACTGTACCATTTGCTGACGCTAAGAGAGAATTCAATCTAAATTCTGAGCTTAAAAACTATTTTTGATTATATAGTGAAATTTTTATGCAAAGTTTCAAGTTATATTGACGTACAGGTTTCTTACAGGTCAACGCTACTGTATGCTATGAAATTGTTATATTAATTTAGAAATCATTCAAGTATAGATAACGGAGTCTAATAAATTGTCAATGTAATTTAATTGGGTAATAATGGGGATTACTACATGTAATTTGGTTTGCGGGACACTGAAAAAAAGAAAGTGAATAATTTTCTGAAATGGTTATTCGTAATCAATTCTTTCGCGAGCCTTAAGTCAGAATTTCTTATATTCATTCAAAATGGTCAAAACTAGAGTTTACCACGAATCCAATTTGAATGAATTCAAATCATGTTTGTGATAAGTATTAATTATTACGATTTAATCCTAATGATCCAAATTGGATTTATGGTTAGTTAAAACTAACGGTCGTACTACCTTGAGCTTTATATTTTGCACTTTCAGTCTCAGTTAGAATGGCAACAGTAATCGAAATGGAAACATAGGCACCTTTAACGGAAACAACAATAACAATAAAAATTCTGGTAACTTCCATAAAAACAGTAATGATAATTTCAACTTGGGTAGTTACAATGACAATTCCAACCACTTGGATAGTTATAATTGTAATACGAATGTGAACGATAACTGGAAGAAGCTGGAACAGAATAGTAATGGTAGCGGAAATTTGAAATGAGACTATTTCAATGAAAATGTTAACAGAAACGGAAACGTTGGGGTGGCCATGAAGAAAAGCACTGGAACTTCTTTTTAAAACATTTTAAACTTTGTTACCCTTTTTAAAATCTCTTTCGCGCATTGTACATGTACATAAATTTCTTACATCTGTACAGTCAACTCTGTTTACAACGAACTAATGGTTCTATTAATAAAAAATTTCGAAAGGCGTGTTATAAATTTTACTATATTTTATAAAATATAAAATCGTTATAAAAGAGTTCATTATAGACAGAGTTGACTGTATTAGTAGTAGCATAACGCATACATCATAGTCATATTATCAAAAACTTCTTTGTATCAATTGCATTGAAGCATACGAGTACACTATTAAAACACAATTATGACCACTTGAAATTCTTGATACAATTATTATCGTTATTACCAATCATACGAGATACATGTATTAGTAAACCGATATTAATGGTTGATTTTACGAATGGTACCCATAACGTTAGAGATTTTGTTGTAATGATTTAATTGATACATAACGATAACGATAACGATAATCAGGATTATCGTTAATTATCGTTATCTACGTATCGGTATTTATTATTATACATACGTTTGAACGTACGTTACGTAATGTTTATAAAAATGCCCATCGCTATCGCTATTAATTTATTATCAAAGAACTTCAGGCAAGCTTTGCTATAAAATACTATGTATACAACTACTACGTATTATTTTCTAATTTAGAAAAATGGAAATTAGTTCAATATTCCAATCATTATCCGTGGAAATTCGTCAAGAAATTTTCAAGAATCTAGACAGAAGGTCTTTATTTAAGTATCTGTTAGCCAATCGACAATTTTGTCAAGAAATTGCGCCAATTCTTTGGGAAGCACCTCTTACACACTACCATTGTAAAAAATATCAAATTATTGTAAGCGTTTATGTAGGAAGTTTTTCAGAAGAAGTATGGAAGTATCTACGATCCAAACACCAAATTAGTCGACCACTGACTATACGGCAACCGACGTTTAATTATGCGTCATTTGTACGTTACTGTAATCCAACGCAAGTATACTTCGCAGCAGCTGCATGGTTAGCTAAATATTTTCCGACTAAACTGAGGCTTGAACGCAGAGCATTGGCAGTTTCCTTGATCAGACTTTTAATAAACGAATCAGCCTCTCTGCGTTCTTTAAGTATTAGTCTTGCAATTGAGAAGAAATTCTGGAATCTGATCCTTAAAGAATGTCCAGTCCAAAAGTTATTTGGAAATCTTAAGGAACTAAGCTTCAATGATTTTTCATTAGGAAGAAATCGCCACAAATTTTTTGAAAATCTGACTCATTCGATTAAAAACATCACATTTGAACGTGATATTAAATTCACAGCTAAAGAAACAAACATAAAAAATAAAGCAGTTGAAGCCTTGCGACACATGATGAATACACAAAGGGAATTACAATGGATCCGACTACATAATATATCCAACGCCGCAATCAAAATTATTTGTGAGGCTCTTTATTATTCATCAAACAACTTGCGAGCTATTGAATTTGCCGATCTCAACTTTGCTTGTTTTCGTGCTGATAGCGTGATTCCAGGACTGAGCTCGTGTGTCAATCTCATCTGTTTAAGTTTTCGGAAGTGCACAGCATTAGAACAGCCATGTTGGTTTGAAACGGCTAAATGTTTTCAAAAATTGGAATATTTCTCAATTGAACTTTTAAAGTATGATGATCTGCCATTTAAATTATTAGGGGAAATCTTCAAAGCTAGTGGCAATGCTCTCCAACATCTTCGTCTGCAAATTATTAAAGATTTTAAGTATCGCGTTGACAAGCTATTTTCTTTAATGATTCTTAATTCTCGAAATCTCCGGACACTCGATTGGCCCGATGATCTTGGTGAAAATGATCTGTCTATTTTAATGGAAGCATGCCCAAATCTTTATCATCTAGACATACATACCAAAAAATTAGACGACATATTTTTGAAAATTCTGGCAAGAGAGCTTCGACCCACAATTAAATCTCTTAGACTAAAAGCTTCATGTCAAGCACATCAAATATCAAAAATATCAAAGGAGGCATTTATTCACTTTCTGGTGGTTACTCATCAAAACTTAGAATATCTTTCCCTTTGTCCCTTTACGTTTAATGCGCATCATGGAAAGTTGGTTTGGAGTTATGGCATCAAATTAGAAGAGTCATCGATAGATGACAGTATGTAGTCATTTATTTATTTTATTATTATTTTATTGTGCATTTAAGCTGACTTTGCTTTTCCATTTTATTATTTGTAGGAGTATATCCAAATTATTTTGTGCAATATATTGAATTTTTGAGAGTTTGATTGATTCTTGTTATGCATACCGGTGCGTTTTGATTTTATTGGTAAATGAGAAGAAAACTAATATTCCCCTTTTGTTTCTAAGACGCATCATACTTGATTATACCTTAGTTTTATATTAAAAATTTTAATATTTTACGATCATATATGTATTTTAAAGTCTATTTTCTACAAATACATGTATATCAAAGTTTGTTTTTAGAAACCAATCCTCAGTAATAACAATATTGTTGCTGTTGCTTTTCAAATATTTGAATGAGCAAGAAACAGGAAACTCTCTAAATGTCAGAAAAGATGATAAAATCGAATCGATGAAAGAATAGACTCGTTACTTTCATTTTTGGTAGCAATACCTGGTTTGAGTGGATTCCTTATGACAAATTTAGTGAAAGATTATAGCACTATAAGAAAATTTACGCGTAATATGTCTGTAAAAGATTATTGTCCCATTTTTACATACTCAACTACGTGTTTATACATCGATATGTAAAAAGTGACCTTTATACGTATGTCTTTTACAGGCATATCAGACTTATTCATATATTTTCATACTTATTTCAGACATATATTGAAATTGACAAATGTATTTTTCTAACAGGATAGCTGAAGAAGATAAGGTTCCTAACGATTCGGTTCTCGTTTACATTCGGTTCTGGGTTCAATATTAAAATAAAAACAAAACATACACACAAATGCAGATTACACTAGTTGAACCTTTGCTGGAGAGCTAATTTCAATTCCAACTAATAAGGTACATTTTAAGCTAAATATAATTATTATTGATATTTCCCATTAATCAAAAATTTATTTTGAATATTGTATTTAGGTGCTCAACATGCGATTCAATATCGAGGATAGAGCTGATAAAGTGGTAAATTTTCCTCAGCAGTTGGTCTGTTTTCTGGAATAGGATTCCAACACTTTTTAATAAAAAATTTGCACCATCTGGAAAGATTTTTTTATTTGGGCCGGCAAGGCCAAAATCTGCAATACTAGAAACACGATGCATTAATACATTCTCAGGTGTAAGTCGCGATGCACAAATCCCCCCTGGTGAATTTTACGCAACCCATCGAGAATGTCAACCAAATGTCTTAATTTTTCTTCTCAATTTAAATCTTCATACATACGTAGTTTGAATTACATGTGATTTCTTTGCGAAGATCGCCATCTTTTGGGTTTTTACATGTAGTTTAAACTATAGAATATATTGTTGCACTTTAGAGCAGTGTTGTACATTTTGGATATCCAAGCACTTTTTCGACTGTCCAAATGTCCAAACGTCCAAATGTCCAAGTGTCCAAACTCTTATACTATTAAAAAATCAAATAAAAAATATATGATTATATACAACGAGAAATTCTAAACATTTTTAATTAGTGTCCAAACAGGTTATTTTAATAAAATTTTGAGTAAATTTGATTTTTTTTTTGTCAAAAATGTTCAAGATTGTCCAAAGGCATGTCCAAAGCTGTCCCGTGACAACACTGCTTTAGAGCACTCATCGATATATTTTATTTATTTATTTTCTATGAATTATTTTACCAATGCGCATATACACCGATTTCAATCGTCAATAAAATTTTATAACTCCTTGTAGTCATTTGATCCATTCATTCATGACCTTTTTTGTTTTATAATGATTCCTTTCTCAAACTAAAATAACAGTATATTTTTTATTGCAATATGTAAGTATATACTGTAAACCGCTGAATAATTTTACCTCAAAACTATTACTTTAGTGACATAAATTTTTGGCGAAATTACGCTGTCCGTGAATTTTATGGTATTCATTTTGTAGTAAAATAATCAGTTTTATTAAAAAAGGGCTAAACTAAGATTAAATATTCTACAAGGGGGACGGTTTACGATAATTTAACACTATGCAAACTAATAAGAAGTATAAAGTTGCTGTAATATTTGATATTATTTTTTTCGAATTTATGTGAAAAATGTCATGCCTTTTGAAAAATTTGTGATGCTTTTTGCTGAACCTCGCCCGTGGACTTATGTAAATCCAAGAGGATACAGATAATGCAATTTATAATAATATTGCGGACACAACTGCACATCAATAAATATCATATTTTCTCGGACTAAAGTATCTCCCTCTGTAAGAAATCTAATCCTTAATTTAACCTCGAAGCTATTACTTTAGTAACATAAATTTTTGAAGAAATTACACTGTGAATCTTGTTTTATTCATCGCAGGAAGATAATTGATTTATGACTAAATTAAGATTCAGAGGGAATACATTCGAATTTAAAGACTTATATTTCACAATATAAGCAATTTGTTTCGAATTTAAAATGTCATTTGTTGTCATTTTTATCATTTGTCAAAAAATGACGTTTATAATATTGAATTATTAATACTAAATGTCTGTATTTTTGCAAAAAATTGTATGGCATAGTTTTTTGATAATGATGATGACATTGGAAATTACACATGAGCCGGCTCACAAGTTTGGTAATGAGTCAAAATTAATTTAAAATTTTTTATTTATATTGGCTCACAAGTCAGCTTGAAAGCTGATTCATGAACGTGGAAACAAAAGTAAGTGAATTATATTCATTAATACAAGTGAAACTCGATAAGCTGAAGTCACGCTAAGCTGAAATTGCATTAAGCTGAAGTTTTTTTGATTTCCCAAAATTTTATTATAGCTTAAGCTGAAATTAATTAGTAAATTCGCGTTAAACGATAAGCCGAAGATTTTTGGCTAACAGACTATAATAATTTGATCTCGATATATTGAAGTAATCACGTGAATTTCATTTGATTGGTTCATTCTTAAATCCCATGATTGAAATAAGCCATACTATTAGCGCGCGACAAACAATCGCTTGATTGTTCATAGAGCATTCTTGAACGATCCATTTCGCTGTATATATTTTTACGGGGAAAGTTCAATTAACTCTTTCATTTGATTAATATTTCAGAATGAACAATCGTGGAGAAAGTTCAACAAGTGGTTTTTCAAATTTTAACCGATTCAAGAAACAAAACAGTAAAGCAAAAAGTAAACCGAAAAATGCTGACTGGCCTTGAAAAACAATCTCTTTGTATTAAAGTGCAAAAACATCCCAATATTACGTTGGAGACATTAGCAATCGAGTTCGGAATAAAACCCAACACCGTTCATGATATTCTTGCAGAAAAAGACATTTGGTTAGCTTTAGATAAAAATTCACCACTTGCTACCATTGAGTCAGCACTCGCTTTGTGGGTTGAACATGCTATACATCATGAACAAGCTCTTACTGGTGAAATATTAAATGTTAAAGCACATGAATTTGCAGACAAGATGAACATTAATGACTTCAAAGCTTCTCCTGGGTGGGTTACAAATTTCAAAAAACGTCACAATCTAAGCCAATAGGTGAAGCTAATTCTGCACCTTTGGAAAACTTGTCACGTTTTCACAACGAATTACAACAACTTATTCAATTATATCCGATTGAAAACGTTTTCAATTGTGATGAAACTGCACTTTTTTATCATCTGAATTCTATTAAAACGTTAGCGCATGGTCCTATAACAGGACGAAAGAAAGCAAAAGATTGCGTTATATTAATGTTTACAGTAAGTTCTACAGGAGAAAAATTGAAACCTTTGTTGATTCATAAATATCAAAATTTACGACCACTTAACAGAATTGACAAAGATACTCTACCAATTCATTACTATTAGAACTCGATCTCATGGATGCAGATTTCAATTTTCAAACACTGGCTTTGTAAACTTAACGAAGTTATGCGTAAATCATGCTGAAACATTTTATTGCTCGTAGATAACGCTTCCTCGCATAAGATCGATGATAATAGCACATTACGGTACATTTTTTACCTTCTAATTGTACAGCACATCTCCAGCTGTGCAATGTTGGGATCATTTACAGTTTCAAAAGTCAATATCAAAAATATTATTGCATCGATTGAATTCAAAAGTACGATAACGCTATTGCTTAGAACCAATCCATTTCAAATATTCCTCAAACTAATATTCGGGAAGCTATCGAATTTGTTAGAATTGCATGGAATCAAGTAAGTACCGAGACAATAACACACGCATGGCAAAAAATGGGTATTATACCTAATAATATGACTGTTGAAAATGAAGAAGATGTTGTTTCATCAACAAATATGGAGCTAATTGAACTTTCTTATTGATCGTGAAGAAGTTAGAATGGAAGCGTCTGAGTTTGTTAATTCAGAAATTTTATCTCTGTACAAGATATGCTGACAACAGAGTCTATTATTGCAACAATAAAAGGAGAAGACTTGTCAGAGTCAGAAGACTCCCTAATAATCAAATCTATTTCTCATAAATCAGCTCTTGAGCATGTCAATTCTTTGCTTCTGTATATTACTCAAGATTGTGATAGTGAGCTTCAAGTTGATACTGCCTTCTTATCTAATTTAAAAAAGTTAAAAAGAACGATTGAGACTAAACAACAAAATATGTTACAGCAAACGAGTAGTCTTGCATTTTATCATTAATAAAGTTTATATATAGTGTTTTTATAAGCAAAAGGTTTGTGTAAACTAAATTCAGCTTATTGCGAAATTTGATAAAACAAAATCTCGATAAGCTGAATAAATTGTTCCTTCCCGCAACCTTCAGCTTATCGAGTTTCACTTGTATTATGATTATTGATATTAATAAATTTTTTTTTAGAAGTTACTTGAACAAAAATTAACCAACTTTTTTGAAATTTTTTAGCATTTCACGTAAATTGTCTGATTTTGAAGATAATATTTAAAAGAATGATTCTTTTTATTAAACTATAATCAAGCTAAAAAAAATTCTAACTAATGAATTACAATATTATATTCTCATTTCGTATAATCACCCTTTGTCTAACATTATTCACCCTTTTTGGCATTGAAGAAACCAACCATTTACAGAAGTCTGCTTCGATGCCATTCCACATGATCTGGAGCTTTACCCAAAATCATCTTTGCTTGAAAGTGGGTCAGAAAGTTATAGCAATTACTGGTCAATCTCATTTAAAAGATTTTTGATGGGGTTCAGGTCAGGAGATTGAGCTAACTAATCAAGCAAATCTATTTCATTATCAAGGAACCAAAACTCACACTTTTTTTGACATATATTTAGAATTTTTATCTTGCTGGTAAAAGATTTCTTCTTTACTCAACCCTTTTGCCAACAGTGACCTAATAGATTCTCATTTAAAATATCAACATAAATGTCAGCATTCATTTTCACATCAATTTTTTTGAGTTGTCCCATCCCTTTGGCATTTATATATCCCCAAACCATTATAACGCCACCATCAAACTTCATTGTAAAGATGATTTGGCATTGATTCATTTGCTTATTAATCTTTATCCAGCAGTATTTACAGTCATCTGACCCAAAAAGCTGGAACTTGCTTTCATCGAACCAGAGGACCAATCTCCAATCGTCAACTGTAAAATCTCAGTATTTTTTTGCTCAAGCAAGCTACCATTTTCAGTGTGTCTTTTTGAGTATTGACTTTTTGCATTTAGTTTTTGAGGATAGACTATTTATCCAGAATATTCGTCATATGCTCTCTACTAAAATGTCAATCCCAAGATCAGATTTAAGTTTGATTTTGATCTCTACAGTGGTAAAGCACTGTACAGTCATTAACAACTGGACAGCATATCTTTCATAGCAGTCAGTTAGAAGACATAGATGACCAGTTTTTTCTAGATCATCAAAGGTTCCAGTTTCTTTTTTTTGCAAATTCGTAGAACTGATGCAAAGTCCATCTGCTCTGAAGCAGCTATTTCTCGTACTGAATAACCTTTTTCTTGAGAGATTCGAGGCATTTCTCAAATAAAATGTGGTTAGGATTGTTATTTAGAATGGTTAAAAGTATTTTACAAAATTAAAGTAATAAAAAGTGCTTTTATACTTATCTTTGCTATTTCTAATTACTTACACAAGTCGGTCGTATTACACGGAATGCTAAAAAATAGCGTATAAAGAAAATGATAGATGAACATAAAATTTTAATGAATATAATTCATTTACTTTTGTTTTCACGTAATTCTTCAATGGCGAGATATTCGTATCTCGCCAATTTTTTTTCCGTGTTCCATTTCTTAAGAGCTACTGTAAATAAATTTTTAAAGTTCTTTTGATTCGGTATTGGCTTACAGCTGGCTTGCGAGAAACAGTGTCTCAAGTAATGGCTTAATAGCAAAAATTTTCAATAAAAAAGATGCTTTATCTGTTTAATCATTTATTTTACTATTAATTGCGCCTACTCTTAGTTGTACTTAAGCTTCGTCTTAAATGCTTTTTGTCTTAAAAATAATTGTTTTAATCTGAAAACAGAGAAGTCATGCAGATTGAATCAGCGATTTATACATGTACATATATAACGATAATTGATTATTAATTCGTCTCGTATGATAAAAGCTTGACTAACTGTAAGTTTACTCAAAAATGATGAGATAAATTTTATTGGAATTGAATGCGAGAAGAGATGATTTTTGTTATGTACAGTCGCACCTCGATATAGTCACGGGTTGAAAAACAAAATTGGGTGTGACAGTGACTATAGAGAAGTTTACGTATTCTTAATTGTGACAATATCGAGGTGCGACTGTATTTAATTATGGAAGATACCGTTCAAAGTGTTCTATTTGTTTTGTAGTTGCAAATGTTTTTGACGGTTGGATCGATAGTCTTATACGAATTTTGAGATCTTATAAAATAAAATAATTTTTTACTAAATGAGCCTGTTGTATGACAAGGGTTTACTTTCACGTTTGATAAACAGCAACAGCGGAACTTTCACCGATAATAATGCGCTAGAAGAATAAATAATTTTTCGGCAATCATGACTGGATACAAGAAATGTTTGAAAGACAAGTATCTCAATTGAGGTTGAATAGTCTAAATTGCCTTTAGTCAGATTTATGAATGCAATTTCTTTAAGAATGAAAGTCAAACGATTTATATTAAAGTGAAAAAGAACTATAAAAGGGTCTATGTAATTAGCGCTTGATTTGATTTATTAGTATAAATTCTGAAAAACAGCCATCTATGAGAATTTTATGAACCATGTCAAGGTGCGTACAGAGTAAAGTGGAATTTGATGTTGCATAAACCATCCTCTCTGTAGAAAATTTACCTTAATTTCACCACAAGGCTATTAATATAGCAATTGAAATTTTTAAAATATTGCACTGTGGATATTGATTTCTTTATTTTGCGGAAAACAATTGGTTTTATTAAAAAAATTTGGGCCAAATTAAGGTTTAAATTACAGATTAGGTATGAGTGAGACGAATACAGCCTTTCCTTTTTACAAGAAACCTTTTGATAAGACGTCATATAAAAATTTTTCTATGATAACATCTGTATTTGGAGCTAAGGATAAGGATCGATTTCGAGTCTAAAAAAATTGAGGAAATAGTAAGTAATCAAAATTATCAACCGATTTTAGGTTGAGAATCGATTCCTATCCTTATTCGGAGCTAGTGATTTTGTTTGCTTGTGTATAGAATTCTTAATAAAATAATGAGTCAGGTATTACTGTTCGAACCTTCGTTACATCGAGAAATTGTTAAAAAGAATTAACCACAATGGTCCAGATGGATATTTTAGTCAAAGCATTTATTATATTATTTGCATACTGTTACCGTATGGTGCATAACATCTAAAGTCATCAAACATTTGTATTTTATAAATGTATAAACTTTTCAGCTAAGAATTAAATACAAAATTTAATCCGTGAATATGATAGAATAATCTCTTTCTGAGCATATTCACGGATTAAATTTTGTATTTGCTTCTTAGTTGAGAAGTTTATACATTTTATAAAATGCAAAAGTTTGATGACTTTAGATGTTATGCACCATATTGAACGAAAAATAACGATTTTTAGGCTGACACGAATTATTTCGGGTCGGGTTTGACCCCGATCCGAAATGTGCGTTCCGGGTCGAGCCACGAATTGGACCCGACCCGGTTGGAGCGCTATATCAGATAATGGTCATTTTTTATTGAAAGTTGATGAAGGTACAGTACTCTCATTAGATTACAATGTCCAAATTTAAATCTTTTCGATATACATATGATATTTGCTTCTTTTAAACCATATTCGTACATGAATACCGATATGTATTTGAATGGCTATCTTAGTTTATCGAATATGCAATTTGATTAGAAAACAAATTAGCAAATATCAAGAAAAAACCAGCAATCAATACTACATTTGTTACATAACAATAATAAAGTAGAAGAGACAGAAGTGAAAATATGTAAAAATTTTGAATTCATATTTTAATGCTTGTTCTTTTGGAATTTGCCTCTTTAAATTATTTAATTCAAAATAAAATAAATTTCATAGATGAGTTAAATCTAAATAGCATATTGAATAAGCAAAATAATACGAAAATATAAAAAACAGTATCTAAAAGGAAGTTACAAAATAATAAAAATCTAAAAAAGAGCGGAAAGTATTGATTTATATCTAGGAATTACATCAATTCGTTTTTTTTTTGCATCAATACTACCATTTTTAACTGCAGTTTTGTACCATTTTTTAGCTTTCCTGATATCTTAAGAAACACTGATTCCTTCTTCGTAACATATACCGAGATTAAATTGTCCTGGTGCGTTTTCACCTTCTGCTGATTTCAAATACCATTAAATGCTTTTTTCTCATATTTTTGTGTTCCGATTCCATTTAAGTAACAAAAACCAAGATCGCGTTGTCCATTTCCACCTTCTACTGATTTCAAATACCACTCAAATGCTTGTTTCTGATCTTTTTGTATTCCAACACCGTTTTCATAACACCAAGCAAGATTACATTGACCTTGTGTGTCTCCACCTTCTGCTGATTTCAAATACCACTCAAATGCTTTTTTCTCGTCTTTTTGTGTCCCGATTCCATTTTGATAGGCATATCCTAGAAAGAATTGGGCTGAAGTGTTGTTATTATTTGATAACTCTGCATAAAAACTTAATGCTAATGCAGCATTCTTTTCAACTATGAATCCTGTTTGATAAAGAATTCCTGAAAGTATCTTGTATTGAGCATTATTTTCCGTATAGTCCTGAATTTCAAAAGAATGATGACTGTATAGGTTATCGTAATACGATTGTAGTTCGGAACCTATTTTATCTAAATTCTTTTCTTTGCTGAGTAAATTATTTAATA